TGTTGTTCAGCATCTTAGCTGTGGAGGGCAGTGTCACTGGCCCTCATATGTGGGATCCGAACCGGGGCCCTCTAGCATCCCAAGCCAGTTCTTAAGCATCGCGCCACTTGGCCGGCCCGAGACACAGTCATTTTGAAGAGCACTTGGAAAACATAAAAAGCCTTAAAAATCTCCATGCCCTCTGACCCAGAAATTCTGCTGCTGGGTAACTGAGACAATCAAGGGATGTCTGTGCGTTCATTCATGAAGGACCCTGGGAGCTTGCAGTGGGTCCTGGTCCTGGCCTTGGAGAATCCGCAGGGAGAAAACAGACACAGTCGTTGCTCATGCACCTGATATTCTGGTGGCTTAAAAAGGGGGCACTCCAGATAAGTAAGGAAAATGCAGAGTTTGTTGGGTGGAGACAGTGGAGAAAAATAAAGCAGGTGGGGGATGGGGGATATTGGTGAGAGTTTGCAAAGTAGAATCAACCTAGTTCAGTATCATACAGAATATTATGCAGCCCTAAAAATGCTATTAGGAGAGAGTGTTTTGTGACATAAAAATGCTGCAATGTTAAGTGGCAAAAACCAGAATGCATACGTAGTATTTTTCAGACCATTTACCACTACATTAAGTTACCTTGTTTACTTGTTTCCTTCCTTGTTTATTGTTACCTTTGTTTATTGTTGCCTTTACCTAGAATGTAAGCTACTTGTTCCCTGCTGTATTGGTAGGGCTTAGCATAGTGCCTGGCACATAGTAGGTGCTCAGCAAATAGTTGATGAGTGAGTGCATTGACCAAGGCTCAGAGGAGCAGGGCAGCACTGCGGGGGGCAGAGGCTTGGGGGCAGCCAAAGTATGAGTTTCATCAGGGAGGGGCAGCTCTGTCTTTTTTGACTGGGAATTCTCAGGTCTCAGAGGGACTGGGGCTTTTGAACGATATTAACAGTAAGAATTTGGCTACTATAAACAATGAGAACATTTCTGGGTCCTTGGAGCACAGACGATAGGAAAACAAAACAGGGATTAGAGTAGATACATTGTATTCACATATCCGCACAGGACTTCGTAGTTCACAAGCAAGGCACTGCCACATTCAGGGTAGGCCATACACATGCCCATCCGATAGACGAGGGAACTGAAGTCAAGGCTGTGGAGAGAGTTAGGGGCAGAGTCATCTAAGGCCCCAGGTCCAGGTCATCTTCCTTGAATCTGTGGCCACGCAAAGCAACCCACAGGCTTTCATTTGTTCATTACGTTGGGAGAATTTTGTTTTGTTTTGTTTTCAGCAAAAGTTTTCCTAAGTCAGCCACCTGCTTCCGTCTGTCCCTGGGGCTGCTGACCTTGCCCAGGCTACACGGTCAGGAAGGAAGGGACTCAACTGGGCCTGGTAGACAGACAAGGGAGTGCATGCCTGTACGGGAAGGGGATCAAGCTTGGACCCTATGGCGTCAATACTCTTGGGAACATAGAACTGTCTGAGCTGATGCCTTTGTGTTGGCCCTCCCCCTGACTTGGGATGCTGTTCTATATCCAACAATTTCTCTCAACAAATATCCCCACTGGGACAGAGCCAATATTGGGACCTGCTGCAAGACTGACAAGAGCGATACTCCCCCGGGCTTGGGTCCAGAGACAAAGTGGGAAGTGGAGTGGAGGTGAAGACTGGTGGGTCAGGGCCCCCCTTAGACCAGCTGAGCCAAAGGCCCCAAGCCCCAGCGTCCTGGCTTGCTGTATAGGCTCTGGCCTTCCTCTGCTGTTGGCCTGGCTTACTCCCTCTCTGAGCCTCAGTTTCCTCATCTGTGAAGTAGCCTTTGGTGATGTTGCTCAGAGGGCTGCGTGAGAATCGGGGGAGGAAGGAGCCTCAAGCTTTCTGCTGTTCACTCTGCAGGCCTGACCTACTCCTCCTATGGTCGCTTGGTTGCTCACCTGTAGCAGCTCCCATCCCACTGGGCTGTTTCAGTTCCTCTCGGCCCATCTGTGGGACTACAAGAGCTTCATGCCATGGACGAAGACTCCTATGGCATGAACAGGCCAGGCCTCAACCTCGGCCCAGCCCAAAGGCCTCCCTTGTCTGCTCCCCGGTGCCTGAACATCATCCCCTACACACATTGAATCATCACCCCTGAACTCAGTCTGTATGGGCTGTTTAAATGCAAGTGACCCAAGGTGACCACCACTAGGTGCTTAACTCAGGCTGAGGTTCTTTGACATCCCTGGGGACTTCTGACCTGTACCCCATGGTTCAGTACCTGGTGTGCAAATGCTGTGGGACCCCCATGCTCGGGGGCACAGCTCAGGAAATGCGGCACCCCAGATCTTCAGCCCAAGAACCCATGGTCTGCTGGGGGTCTGGGTGGCAGAGCCTGAGAGTCCAGCTCCAGCCCGACCAAAGCTCAAACCATGGACCTAAACCACCTCTGGGTCCCCAACTATCCCTCCCGGGGAAGCAGTGACCCTTCTGGGGACAGGCTGCTTGGGGCCAGGGAACGGGCAGGGCTGTGGAATCAGATATGACTTTTGGCAGGTACCCACCACCTCCTCTGTGAAATTGGGTGAAGCCTGCAGGTCACTTGAGCAGCAGGCCCTTAGCAGGTGATAGCTGACTGTCTTCGGTGACCAAGTGGCCATGTCTTTCCTGCCCACAGATCCTGAACATGGAAGATGACCAGAACTGGTACAAGGCTGAGCTCCGGGGCGCCGAGGGATTTATTCCCAAGAATTATATCCGTGTCAAGCCTCATCCGTGAGTGGCCATCACCCCAGCCCTGTGACCTCAAGGCAACACGCCCTCATCCTCCTGCCCCTGCAGCCGAATGTCCCCACCCGGCCTCACCAGGCTGAGCTGTGCTGCCTGGTATATCTCTTAGACATGGGGTCTCCTCACTCCCAGCCTCCGTCCATCTGTCTGAGGCCCCTGGTCTTTACCAGGGGACAGAGATATGAGGACTTGCCCTAAGTGGTAGCAGAGTCAGGGCTAGCCCAGCCCATGATACTGAGGACTGGAGCACCAGAGAATGTCCAGGAGAGCCCTGGAGAAGAGGGCCCCCGGCTCTGAGCTGGCTTGGCCACTGGCTGGTTTGTGGCCTCGGGCAGGTCCCTGCTCTCTCTTTCTCAGGTTCCTTATCTGTAGCAAAAGGAGGCTGAGGCTCTAATCTGTGGCGAGTTCTGGAGCTTTCAGAGGCCCACTCAGCCCTGTATGAGGGTGAGGAGTGACGGGGCCAAACAGAGGGGTGGAAAGGTGGACAGGAAGCAGGCTCTGTGAGGCCTGCCTTTGGGGTAGGAGGAGGAGCTAGACATGGGCCAAGCAGAATCTGGGATCAGAGTAGGGTGGGAGTTATGTGTGGGACCCAGGTGTCCTGGGGCCTGGGATCTGCTGGCCCAGGGAAGTCACCAGTCAGGCTCTGAGAAGGTGGCATCCAATGCTGAGACCGAGAATGGCCCAGCCCCAGAACAGGCCTAAGTGGCCAAGAATCTATGGAAAGTCAACTGGATATGCTTGAAATGATGGCAGAGGTAACTTCAAGATATAACTGCTAACTTGGTCATTGACCAAACACTAGTCACAGCCCCAGGGGCCTGGCCTGGGTGGTGCTGGAGACACATGATGAGATGCTGGTGTCAGAGCAGCCCTGTCCTGCCCTATGGGAGACACAGGACACAAAGAAAGTGCAACATGGGAAGGTAGTCAACATTGAGGTAATTAACCAAGGAAGGCTTCTCAGAAGAGGTGGCAATTAGTGAGGCTTTGAAGGACGTGTAGGAGTTAGGTGAGTGGAAAAAAAGAAAAACATTCCTGGGAGAAGGGACAGGGGAAGTAATGAGAGAGACACCATGGCAGGAGGGCCTCAAATGCCAAGCCCAACGTGGTGGGGAGCCATGGTGGCGTTTGAGCAGGGGAAGGACTCAGATGTGGAGGCAGGTGACAAGGCCAGGCAGGCTGGAGGGGGCAGACTGGGAGCCATGATGTATGTGTGGCTATGGGGTTGAAAGGCAGGGAGGTACAGAGCCAAGGTGAGGTCTGAGGGTATTTTCTCTTTATCTGTCTTTGAGTTATTTCCAAAGCTGCCACCACCTCCAGCTTCTTGTGCTGAGCAAAGTTTCACCCCACCCAGGTCCCCAGCCATTTTGTCTGGGCTCCAGGTAACCCCAGCCTCCCCCACAGAGGTTGCAGCCTCTAGCTGACATCTTAGGCTGCAGGCCCCAAAGTGTCCCTTGAGCAGGTATCCGCCCCTCCGGCCTTACGTCTTTCTGTTAGTAAAGGGAGAGAATGAGGGGAGACAGAGATGGTAAGAACCCAGCCCAGGGCCACAAGCCAGGGCCAGGTGCCGCAGGCATCTATAGGCCAACAGAGGAGAGGCAGAAGTCATCACTGTGGGCTGGCCGGTCAGTGAGAGGCTTCCAGGTGGATGCAATGGCCTGGCCAAGGCTAGAAGCCTGGAAAGCCCATAGATGCTGAGAAACCCTGAGCAGAGGGGGAGAAAAGCAGACAAAAGTTTTGTGGTGCTGGACCAGGCCTGTTGGGGCAATGCCATTGGTTGAGGCAAGACTCCATCAGGGCCATTGAGGACTATGGAAGGTTCCAGTCTCCCATGACCCTGGGGTTCCTGGGATCAGCTCTGGATGCTTATGTCTGGGACAGAGCAGGAATGGAGGTCAGGCCCCCCACCAACCTGCCCAGGGCCATGTCCAGGTGCGTCCTTTTCTAACCTCAACACTTGTCCTGGCCCCCAAAAAGCAGTGGGGAAACTCCAGCTCAGTGTCTGACTCAGCCCATCAGGCAACAGGGAATGGAGTAGGAGTAGGGCTGGGGTCCCAGAAAGCCTTGTGCCTACTACACCAGACACACTCTCTCCCTGAGCACCCACTTTCACCCCCACCTGCCCAGGGAGACCCTGGGGGAGGCATGAGGCAGACCAGGTACTCTCCAAGCAGGGTCCATGGAAGCACCTGACCCAGCTACATGTCCAGTAGGGATCAAGGAGGACTGTCCAGAGGAAGGGCACGGTCCACTGGGCCTGGAAGTTAGAGTAGGAGTTTGTCAGGGAGGGCAGCAGGCAGCCCTAGTGGAAAGATGTGTGGGAGGGCTGTGTACCTCTCATTGCAGCAGTAGCAGGAAACACTGCACACAACGGTGCTCTCATTGTCCTGAGGGCCCTGCGAGCTGGGTACTGTCATCGCCATCTCACAGACAAGGAGACAGAGGCACAGAGAGGTCCAGTGGCTTGTCTGGGCTCACATGTCTGGCAAGAGGCAGAGTGGGATTTGTAGCTGGATGCTGTGGGCCCCGAGCTGTGCCTACCAGGAGGGGCAGTAGGGGAGCCTGTAAGAGCAGGTAGGCTTGGGGGAGAGTCTGAGGCCATGGGCTTGCCGTGCAACCTTTTAGGGCAGGGGTCTGCAAACTGTGGCTTGTGAGCCACGTGCGGCTCTTTGGGTACATACATGTGGCTCTGAAGTAAAATTGAAAATGTAAATAAAACTATCATAGTTGCATTTATAAGATTTTTAAAGGATATTATTCACATAATGGTGATTTCATTTGTTTTATGGCTCTTGAATAATTTTTAAATTGTTGTGAGGGACAGGATTGGCTCTTCCATCTCAAAAGTTTGCCGATCTCTGTTTTAGGGGATCTTTGACCTTTTCTGTGCCTCAGTTTCCACATCGGTAAAATGGGGGACTAAGCAAGGAGGCCTCCAGTGGAATGACTCTGGTAGTGGAGAGAGCTGGCTTCTGGGACAGCAGGAAGCATTTGCTTCTCAGGAATCCTGGCCTTGAAGCCACTGGAAGACTGGCCCTGCCTCCCCCTGGTGGGGGCAGGGCTGGCTTTCTTGGAGGGTGCGGTTGCGACACCCTTTGAGGATGACAGCCACCCACACATTGCCGCCTCCTGTGGGGTTTTGTGGGTTCTTCAGAGACAGCCAGGCCCTCAGGAAACGCCCACTTGGGGCCTCACTGGGCCCCTGCTCCTGTAGCACAGCCTTGCACCTGTGTCCTGCTGGGGATTCCCGGCAGAAGGGCTCCCCTGAGCCCCGGGCCTCCACATCCCAGCTCAGCTTCTGGCCTGGAGGCCTCCGTCCAGGATTTCCAAACTCCAGAGACCCAGGCCAAGCTCTCCAGATGGCCTCCTCGATCCCCCACATTCAACAGGGACCACCTCCCTTCCCAGGGACACCCACCATGACATGGGTCCAGGGTCCTCACCAGTTTGGGGACAGCAGTTGGCTGGGACCTCACTTCTAGGGGTGTGGGCTCTCCAGAAGCAGTGCCTGAGACACGATGTGAGGACAATGACTTTACTTCAGAGTGGGAAGCAGGCAGGAAAGGAGCCAATAGGAGATGTTGGTGACACAGCTTAGTAAAGCAAGAGAGACAGCATGGGCACTCCACAGTGTTCCATCGGGGGGCAAGGAGCTGACTGTGTACCCACCTGCTCCCTTATCCAGGGGCTCAGCACACAGGCCAAATGTGTTAGTCACCAGAAAAAGCCCTTGGGCAGAATCCCCAGTGTTTGCATTCACAGGGGGTCGTGTGGGGCATGAGTGGGAAGTGGGGAGATGAGATACCACCAGCGTCTGCTGCTGCAACTGATGCCCTCTGCTCTCAGCCTGAGGGCTCGTCAACATCCTGAGTGAACAGGAAAAGTCCCACCTCACATCTTCCCCCTCAGCCAAACTCAGACTCAGGAAGCATTCACCGAAAGAGGGAACAACGTTACAGGGAATGGAGGCCCCAGACCCTGCCTTTGGTCAGCCATGGTCCCATCATGAGGCATTGGCTGCTCTGGGCCTAGTTTCTCCATTTGAACAACAGCCCAGTGTTTTAGATAGCTGCAAAGCCAGCCAGAGACCACCCAGGCCCTCTGAGTGTGGTCAAGGCCTACATATGTGGAGTGGGAGGGCTGCCTGGAGCCACACAGCAAGATGGGCAGGGCTGGAAGATAAGCTGGATCCCAGCCTTTCACTCCCAGGCCCTGGGGGTGGTGGGGACCTTGCAAGTTTCTAAGCATTTACCATTACCAAGCACCTTCTGTATACCTGGTTCTGTTTGGTCAGCAGGAAAAGGGACTTGTACCTGTGAGAAAAAGTCTAGGTGGTCTCAGTCTGTGCACCTGTGAAATGGGTACCAGAAGAGATCTTTCCTCACTAGGTCAAAGCTGCTGTTGTTTTTGTCATCCATATTCATATTTTTTCACTTTTAAGAATGAAAAAGCTCAGCTGAGTTTGGCTGGGTGAAGGTTCACTGAGGTTTGATATTGCTGTTTTCCTAATGGTATGTGTTTGCCTGGCATAGTGGGAAAGGATTGGTTTCAGGAGAAAAAATGCTGGGATTGCCGGCCACAGCATGTGGCTTTGGGCTCATTGCTTCTCTTCTCTGTGCCTCCGGTTCCTCATCTGTAAAATGGGTGCAACCATATCTTTTGAGCGTTGGGACTGCTGTGAGGATCAGCGATGTTGAGCGCCTGGGCATGGGAAGGGGGTAGTCTGGCCTCCCTGCTGCCTTCACCTGCCCCCTCTCTCTGCAGGTGGTACTCGGGCAGGATTTCCCGGCAGCTGGCTGAAGAGATCCTGATGAAGCGGAACCACCTGGGAGCCTTCCTCATCCGGGAGAGTGAGAGCTCCCCAGGGGAGTTCTCCATCTCTGTGAAGTGAGTTTTGATCCATGGGAGGGTGTAGGGGCGGGTGGACAGGGAGGTGGCATCTGAGCTGAGACTCTAAGCATGGGACAGACTCACAGATTGAGGTGGCAGGAATAGCATTCCTGGAGAGGAGCAGCCCAAGCAAATGCCTGGAAACAGGTGATGGACAGTATGGGGGTTGGGGAAGGACATGCACCCCAGGGTGTGGCCCAGATCAGGGAGGATGTGCTTGGAAATCAAGCTCGGGCTGACTGTAAGACCTCAAGTGCCACGCTGGGAGGGTCTGGACATTGTCCTGTGACCGGCCATCAAAGATTCATCATCAGGGGAGGAAGAAGGATATTGGCAGCTGATGCGATGGGAGCAACTGGGACAGGGAGAGCACCGAGGCTCTAGGGCAGGTGTCTATGATGTACTCTGGGCAGGGTCCCACTATATGGTGACATAGTTGAGAGGATGGACCCTGGGACTAGGCTGCTTAGGTTCAGATTCTGGCTCTGCCACTTCACGGCTGTGTGACCCTGGGCAAGTCACTTAACCTCTCTATGCCTGTTTCCTTACATGTAAAATGGGTTATTGCAAGGAATAAATGAATCAACATATTTAGAACAATTAGAATAGTGCCTGGCATTGAGGCAGCATGACTGTGATGTGAGCGTCTAGCTTTGTGACAAAACAGCTCCTCAGGCATGGTGTGGCAGCCTCTGGGCAGTGCAGAACCTAGTCTCAAAGGCCACGCAGGGGCAGTGAAGGAATCCAGGCTGAAAAGTAGAGGTAGGAACAGAAGTGGGGGCAAGGGGGTCAGGCCCCTGACAGGTCTGTGTCCTTCCTACTCCCAGTGCCTGTGTGGGGAGGGGGGAAAATCCCCCTTTCCCCTCCTAGTTCTTCTGGCTGGGCAAATAATTAAAATGACATGAGACAGATTAACAGGAGAAAATAATCAAATTTAATGACATATGTACATACAGGGGTTCCATAAGAACATGAGACCCAAGGAGAGGTTGCGCAGTTAAGGCTCATATGCCATCTTGAGCTAAAGGGAAAGGAAGGTTGTGATTTGGGACTTCAAAGGGGAGGAAGGTCATTCGCATGGAGAAGGAAGCATAAATGTTTGGTGCATAAATGTTTGCTGGGCCATCTTTAACAAGGGGACACAGAGAGGGCTTTGGTCAAAGGGCCCTGCTGGGTTCCCCCCTACCACACCCAGTTCATATTAAAGTATGTAAGTTCGTATATAAGTATTTATGATGATAGCTCTCTTCCTGGAGCAGATTCTCTATCTTAATTCTATTTTAGGCAGGGTTTTTTTGGGGGGGAGCTGGGGGAGGCGGGCGGATATCAAATGTTCTCCCTGAGTCTTTTATTTCTTAAACATAACCAGCTTAAAATAATCAATATCCCAAAGAGGCAACTTTTAGAGTGGCAATCTTTGTTCCCATTCACCTGGACCAGTAGGATCTAGATGCATAAATTCAAGGATTATTCACTGAGCTACATGCCATGTGCACGGCTATTCTAGAGACTGGGGAGATGACAATGAGAAAGCCAAAGCTGCTGCTCTCACGGGTTTATGTCTTAGTAGGGGAGAGACCTAGTGGACAGGAAAAGAATGAACACAGCAGGAGCCAAGGCGCTCAGGGATTGCCTCTCTGAGAAGGTAGCATTGGGGCAAAGACCTGAACCTGGAGGTGGGAACTGCACAGGTCCCCAGGAAGGAGGACCTGGGAAGAGAGACTTCCAGGCAGAGGGGCCAGCCAATGCAAAAGCCCTGACGTGGGAATGTGCTTGGGGTGCCCTGGAACAGAGGAAGCAAGGGAAACGGGTTGGGGGGTACAGTCAAAGAGATGGGCCTGACAGATCTTGAAAAGGAGGTCGGGTTTATCTCAGCACAATAGGGAGCCATGGAGGGTCTTGGGCAGGAAGAGATGTAATTAGCTTCCATTTTCCAGCCAATCCTTCTGGCTGCTGTGAGGAAGAAGGACAGTTGGGAGTAAGCAGGAGCACTGGGAGGCCAGTGAGGAGCCAGGTAGGAGGTGATGGCATCTGGGACTATGGTGGGGGCTGAGGGGATGAAAAGTGGCTGGGTCAGGGAAGTGGCACAGATTTGTGAAGTGGAAACCACCAGCAATACCAACTGTTAGGGGTGCTAAGGGCACCGGGCACAGAGTCTACATGGATGAGGTGCTCACTGTGCCAGCTTTTACTGTCCTGAGGAGCAGTATTGGGGTGGCAAAGCTGCCTGCTGGGAGGAAGGGATGAGTGGAGGGCCCTGGAGCTTAGCAGCATGGCCTCTGAAAGGCAGTGGCTGCTCACCATGTTTTGTGGCTCCAACCTGGATGTCCATTTGCCTAGCACTGGGTTGGCTCATGCCAATGACTCGATGATTTTCTGAAGGATGAGTGAACATGGGACTACTTTGATGGTCAATGCAGGGGCTGGGTGTGAGGGGCACTGGGGTCACAAGAATTCTAGTGAAGCAGAGAAAGACAGACTCAGACAGGGAGGGTTCATTGCGTCCTTGGCAGTTCCAAACAGGCTAGACCAGGGATCGGCAAACTTGTGAGACAGAAGAGCCAATCCAGTTTCTCACAACCATTTAAGAATTATTCGAGAGCCATAAAACAAATGAAGTCACCATTATGTGAATAATATACTTTAAAAATTTATAAATGAAACTATGATAGTTTTATTTTCATTTTTAATTTTACTTCAGAGCCACATGTACGTACCCAAACAACTGCATGTGGCTCGTGAGCCGCAGTTTGCCGACCCCTGGGATAGCCCATAATGACCCATGCGTGGGCTCCTGTTTGCAGCAGTGCCACTCAGAGTGATGTCTTCCAGGATCCCTAGGGGCCCTGCGGTGAGCTCTGTGACTTCTGCTGCTGTCCATTTCCATACAGAGCCCACGGTGGTGTGTGATCCACACACTGGAACCCTGCAAGGTGGAGCTCTCCCCATTAGGGCCTGGAGGCACCCATGTGAGGGGATCACTAATGGTCAGGAAGTCTGCTCGCCTTGGTCCCCTCCAAGCTATGTAACCAGCTTTCTTCACTTCTCTGTTCCCCTGGGAAAAGCCTGGTTATCCTGAGGGACAGGAACGGCTCGTACCCTCTTTGAGCCTCTATTTCCCCATCTTAAAAATGGGAGCTCTGTCAATGTGTGGGAGGATGTGAGGGTACTGTGCATTCTTAGCCCTGACTCCCTCCTAGGATGGTTTGGTATCTGGAGTGCCTCTGGCTCACCTCCCCACCTCCACAGCCCAGCCCCCACTTCCTACCCGGTTCCCTGTAAAAGCAGGAAATGGAAGTTTTTCCATGCACTGGCTATCCAGGGACCCCGTCATCTCCTGGGAATGGCGCCCGCCAGGCGGGCTGGTCTGGCTTTGAATGACTCCTGGAATAAACTCCAAAGCCCAAGGTCACCTAGCAAAGCAGGGACACAGGGGAATCACTGGGATGGCTTCTGGAGCCTGAGCTGAGGGGAGGTGGTGGCCCTCCCAACCCCCCACCTGACCTACCCTCCTCTGCTAACAAATTACAGTGCCTGAAGTTCTGCCATTAGTGCCTCCTGCACTGCCCTCTTCTGGCATCTCTCAGTAAATGCAGCCCAGTCTGTGCATGTGTACAGGTTCAGACCCCAACATCTCAATCTACTTTGTGTGTGTGAACCAAAGGCAGCACAGGGACAGGAGTCAAACCCAAGGAGTGTGGTGGGATGTCCATGAAAAATGAATGAATAAGGGAAAGTCAATGACAACAGACATATTCCACACAGTGAAGGAGGTTACATCTGAGCTGGGCCCTGAAGCATGAATAGGAGTTTGATGCACCAAGAAGGCAGAGGGTATGCCAGGCACACGGAATTGCATGTGCAAATACCCAGATGTAGGCCAGTGAGGGGTGGGTTTGAATAGCAACAAATTTTACTGGGAGGGCAGATGGACAGTACTAAGGTGCAGTTCTTTTTTTTTTTTTTTTAGCTGAGCCATTCTGCCACCTGTTGGCAGTTCAGCGGCAGCTCAGCTTGGGCTGGGAATCAAACCAGCGACTCTGTTGCTCAGAGTTCGCACTCGAGCGAACTCTTAACCAACTGAGCTACTCGGCCGGCCCTTAGGGAGCAGTTTTGAGCAGTACCAATATTGTCCTAGGAAGGGGTGTGGGAGCGTCCCTCAGAGAAATCCTGGCCAAGACCCCCAAGGTCAAAACCAGCAGGAGCTTCCTGGGCCCCGCTGGCTGTGGTCTGTGCACAGCACCAACAGGTGGTGTCCTCTACCCTTGGTTTCTTTCCAGCTGGGTCAGGGCTCCTGGCTCCTGCCCTCACTCCTGGTCCATTGCCACTCATAGGGGCCTTTCGATGGCCTTTGGAGAACCACCAGGCAGGGATCAAAGTAGGAAACTGAGACTCGGAGGAAGTATGTGGCTAGGAGTATGGGCTATTGAGCAAGAATCTCAACTCTGATACCTATTAGTTATATAATCCTGGGCAAGTTACCTTCTGAACTGCAGTTTTCTCATCTGTAAAATGAACATCCATGTAAAGTGCTTAGTAGGAGGCCTAGCACATAGTAAGTACTTAAGAAATGCCAGTTATAACAATTGTCATTATGTTAACCCTCCAAGAGCCGCAGTGCTTCCTAACCCTGCCTCATGAATCCAAGGCTATTAAAGAAGGAGCAATGGCATGGGGAGATGGGGACGAGTTCTCCCCCTGGCTTTGCTCTGGACCTGCTCTGGCAGGTCCCGCTCTCTCTCAACTGTAATGTCCTCATCTATAACATGGAGACAGTGACCTGTGGCCATCCAGAAAAGTGATGGCTGTGCAGACTCATGAGTGAGAGCATTTCCACCCTCACTGGCTTGGTCTTGGGGACTCACCCTACTACGCGTGGCATCTCCTGCGTGCTCATACCAAGCCCCATAAAGCTGTCAGAAGTGGGGTTTATGGACGTCATGGAGCAACAGTGGTTGCTATGGCTAGCTGCCTTTTATGAGTTTACAAAGGGAGTC